ACACACAGACAGACAGACAGACAGACAGACAGACAGACAGACAGACAGACAGACAGACAGACAGAGACATACTCACACAGACAGACAGACACACACACACACTCAGACAGACAGACTCACACAGACAGACAGACACACACACACACACACACACAGACACAAAGCGGATGTGTGCTTTGACATCAGACCTGCTGGTGAAAGAAACGCTCCTCAATGACTTCAGGTTCCTGTTCCTCCTCCTCCACTGCAGTCTTGAATACAGTGCTCCTCACAGCTACTTCCTGTAGGGACAGGGACACTTCAGAGCAGAGCCAATGCTGCCCTCTACTGGCCACGTGAAGACAAGCGTCTCTATAATAAGAGGGATGATAAACATGCGAAGCAAAGCTGGGCTCCGTCTCACCTCTCCTCCTGGGCTCAGCAGAAGCACTTTAATGTTCTCGCCGCTCCCCCATGAGCTCTGGCTCTCCCAGATCAGGTCCGTAGGAGGGTTGGAGCTCACGCCCGCATTAGACGCCCAGATCTGACAAATCAACAGCATTCACTCAACACAAACAACAGGTGACTGTCAGGTGACAGTGTTTTATTCATAATCAACTGCACAAGTCTCTGAGGAAGTGTCAGTATGTACCGTTACTTTCTGCCCAGCCTTCAGGACGTATTTGGCAGTGAATTTATACGTAGCAGAAACATCACCGATAGTTCTGGTCAGCTGAAATCCTGCCATGGGTTGATCCTGAAAAATGATTCAGAAAATGGAGTTTCCTTCAATTAATTGCTACAACACAACAGAATGATAATGAAAAAAAAAACGGCAGCTTTGTCAATCAACACCACGCGATGCATTAGCCGTGTCAAAGCGCAGTGACTGGCTGCAGTTTACGGCATCTGAACCGAAACATCAGTGACTGATATTTAAGTGCACGACTTGTGCTGCTTGCTGAATCCACTTTATTAAATCAGCTAAAGCACCCATTCTTGAACATTAGGTCAGAAGCAGCCTTGGACAATATCACCAGTGATTTGTTGATGGTCTCTTGATCATTGTTTTTACTCACCCATCTTGAAATGTTCTTTGGTGTTTCTGGGACAGCCTTACATTGGTTTAGCTCTTTCTGATCGTAGCCAGGTTATTTCCATTGGTGGTTACAGGTTTGAGGTTGTCACAGTTCATACTGGTGTCCCCCAAGGTTCAATTTTAGGTCCATTACACCTTAGTATCTATTCATTTCCCCTTGCAAAGCTTTTGAGATCACTCTGCCTTAAGAGTTTTTTCGCAAACACCGTTTTAAATGCACATGTAGTCTTGTTGTAGGAAGTTAAATTATTTGTGGAAAAGTTCTCATGTAATGCGTTGATCATTAAAATGGATTTGATCATTAAATCAGACACAGATGTTCTAGATCTAGAGTATGTAATGTGATCAGATTAACATTGCATCCATTGCTTCTATTATTGTTGCATCTAATATTGAAGCTGCGAGTTTAAATACTTAAACGGCAACGTTATCACCTCACGGTGGAGAAATATAATGCCGTTCCAGTAGCGCAAGCTGAAGCAGATTCTGTGCTCCTGAATATTTCTGTGTACCTGTATGACTGCATGTCCCACACCAGTTTAGATCAGGGGATTCCAAACCTGGAGGCCCTTCAGCACCGCACATCTTGTACTCTCATCAAACACACCTGATTCACCTCATCAGCAGAGAACATGACCTGAGCTGGCCATGTGTAATGAGGCAGACGGGTGCTGGGGACTCGGGTCAGCTTTGAAAACCCCTGATCTCGCTTTGCTGGAAGATTTGGCAAACCATGCGCTGCACAAAGAATGCGTTTTCAAAGTGCACTGATGTTTAGTGAGAGCACAGCATGGCTTCTCAGTCGGTACTGCTTTCTTTGCCATGATTTCGGTGAGGACACATACATTCACATGATAAAGGGAGGTGTTGTCACCACATATGGTTCATTGGAGGCGTTTCTGAATGCAAATGACCATGAATGTGAACGAGCACGGTGCTTAAGAACATGCGGGATTTATCAACAATGATTACTTACTGGTGTGCGCAAGAACCGCATGCACACGTTTGATAAATACGGATTTTTTGTACTTGCACACATTCTAAATTTCATTCGTAGGACAAAATATAGAACCTTTTCTACGCACTGTTGATGAAGGCATGTTCTGAGTGCTGTAATGAGTTAGTGTGTCAGACAGACGCACCTGCTCTGAGCTGTTGTGCAAGCGGATGAAATTCCAGTCCACGTCCAGCTCATCGATGCAGACGTTTCCAGAGGCAGATGCAGAGTGAGCGATGCTGACGCTGCTGCTGGCCTCGGACTCCTCCACATCCACACGCTTCCTCTTCCCTCGCGCGGTGCGAACGCTACGGCTGGAGGAGGCCCGGGACACTGTCACACGAGCTGAGGGGCTGGGAGACAGCTTCAGCCTGACAGAGACAGAGCAGCCGTTAAACCGCCAGTCCCCAGCCACACGACGAACAGAGCCAGCCTCACCTCTCCTCCTCTCCCTCCAGCAGCTTCCGGTAAGCGTTGATCTCCATGTCCAGCGCTAGCTTGACGTCCAGCAGTTGCTCGTACTCGTCCAGCTGCTGCTGCATCTTGGCTCTGATCTCTGCGATCTCTCGCTCTTTCTCTGCCAGTAACCTGCGGCTCAGATCCTTCTTGCGGCTCAGAACCGCCTCCAGTTCACGGATCTGATCCTGCCACGCACGCGCCTGAGGGAAGAACAGAACAGCAACGGAATCAAATAGAACTGCTTAGAACTGAACTATTACTGCACTTAACTACTTCTAGGGAAAGTCCACCCAAAAAAGAAAGTTCCTAACAACATTCTGTTTCAGTTCCCTTCATTCTTAGAAATTCAGGCACAGGTTTAAAACGACATGAGGGAAAGTCACAGTTTTAATTTTTGCAATCATACTTTGACTAAATCCCTCTTGTGCAAATTCAGTATACAAGAGATTTTTCCCTGCTAAGGCATGTTGTGATTTTAGGAGGGAGCTCCAACAGCAAATGAGTTTGACCCTCATAATGCCTTCCAAATCAGTGCACTATTTTCACATTCGGAATCGAATGAGACCCGAAGAATCGTTACTTTGTTAAACAGTCATAACTTAAAGGGCACCTATTATGCCCCTTTTTACAAGATGTAATATTGGTCTTGGTGTACCCAGAATGTGTCTGTGAAGTTTCAGTCCAAAATACCAAACAGATCATTTATTATAACAGCTGGAAAAACATTTTTGGGGTGTGTCTTAAAAAAAAAAAGAAAAGAAAAAAAAGCTGTTTTGGAGTGTATGGCTTTAAATGCAAATGAGCTGCATATTCCCACCCCGTCTCCAGAAGAGGGCGTTGCGTATACATCTCTCTGCATTGCATATCTACAGCAATTAACAGCCGGTGTAGTGCTGAATTCTGCACCCTGCCAGATTATGCATCCCCTAGTATTGGTAGGTTTAGGAGTAGGTGTGGGAGAGGGGTTAGGATTAGGGGTGGGGTTGGGATTAGGCAATCAGATAGCGATTTCAACGAGGGGATGCATAATCTGGCAGGGGTGCAGAATTCTGTACACACGCGTAGAAGCAACATAACTGAGGGCGAGAGAACCGGTGTTTAGCTGTACATATGGGAAGCCAAAAGAAACAGCGCGATGTTACAGAGCTCGCGCCACGCTGATCTGTCATCGGCATGGATCAATGGACCAAGCCGCGCGACCGAACAAATCTTGCGCTACGAACAGCGTGAACTAATCTCGCAAGCGCGGCGCTGATCAGTTAAAAATACTTGATGTGTACACACAAAGGGCAGGGCGGAAACTACAGCAATGCAGGGCTGTCAATCAGCCGCTGTGGGCGGGGCCTAAACAATGTGATGTCACACTGCATGAGAATCAAAACGGCCTAGCGAAACAGACTTGGTTTAAAGGGGATTTTAAAAAATGAGGAGTGGGTGGATTTTTATCATTGTAGGGTGGTTGTGTTCACACACTGCTAACACATTTATGTCCAAACACCATGTAAAAGTGGATTTTGCATAATAGGTGCCCTTTAATATTTTTCAACTAAAACCATATTGTATGCGATCAGCAGCTTCTTATTAATGAGTAAAAGTTTTAAATGTTATTACTGCATTTACCCCTTTTTCAACATTTCAATTTTGATCAGTTTAAATTTCACATGAACCCACACACACACACACTTCTTCCTGACTGATTTGCTTCGTTTTTGAGCAATGAGTTATAAATTCAGTTTAAATTTATGAAACCTGCATAATTTAACAAAACAAGTATTACTCTTAATTTTCAAGTAAAAATTCATTTTACTCTCATAAACTTTAATTTTTAGATGAAAAAAGTGAACAGTTTTACATTATGAAATGACTGCTGCTCAATAGGTGTACATATTCATGTTTATCAACAAAATTCAGTCAATTTCAGCACAAAAGTGTGAGATATGGGAAAAGGCTAAATATATTGTATAAGTCATGACATCAATATAACTTTATACAAAAAGTATCAACGCCTAATGAAAATTAAAATAAATAAAAACCGAAAATGAAAACCATAAAAAAAATAAATAAATAAAATTTCAGCTAGTTGCCAAGGCAACATTTCTCATTAAAATTTAGTTTACTAAAATAACTAAACTAATAAAATAAAATAAACTATATGGACATATTAATAAATGGCTAAACACAAATTTACTAAAACGTCACTTTGTTTTCCATTTTCACTTTACTGTAATTAACTAAAATACTGTCGTTTACTCCCAAGCACTGCAGATGGGCATCTATTAAAGATCTATGCGGACAGGATTAGTTTTACATGGAGAGGTGGGGTAAAGTCATCACTACCACAGCTTCTCAGTGATATTAGTCTCGTCTGAATGTGCCATCTCTGTAATCATTAGTCAATGTCAGGTAATCCTGTATGCACACACCAGCTGTAAATGTGCATAATTCTGTCATTTCCTGTTTAAAAGCAGTCTTCTGTGGCTTTCCAGGTATGGAGGCGCTTAAAGCAGCTCGCAGTTGTGTTCTAGGCAGTAGGACATGTCTGGGGCAAACCTCAAGTGTTTTCCACATATGACAACTAACACCATTCAGATCAAAAGAGGGTCAAAAGCACTTGTTAGAGGCACAAGACCTGTTAGCTTTAGGTAAGTGCCTATTACCAACAGAATCCTGTCAGAATGCACATGAAGACGGTGTATAAATCGAGTTACCCCTCCCACTTCTGGTAGTTTTGCTGAAGTGAATTGCGCATTAATATTACAGACGTGCTGTGGTAAAAGTACATTTCTCCATCCACCCGTGTAACAGCACTCCTGTCCAAACAGGGCTTTAGTCTGGCAGTGACGCTCCGATCACTGTAGAGCGACGGTGTGCGGTTGAGAAGAGATGCTGCTTCAGAAGATCTGTACTGCTGTCATTTCATTCAAACCTAGACGATTCGTGTTACTGTACAGTTCATGAACAACATCTGGATGTGTTATAATACATTTTGTAAAACAGATGGTTCCGGTCCTTGATTCTGATTGGCTGAGCCGGGTTCGAAGCTGTTGTAAATTACTCTACAAACACACACCTTTGTTTACTTCTGTGTGTTGCTCGGCAACCACTTTGTTGCAACCACAACTGTTTCTGAGGAGCTACATTGTTTGGTGGAAGAATACTGTTTTTATTAATATCATTACACTTTATTTGCTCCGTTTTATTTTGTGAAATCGTATTACGTTTATGGAATAACCATTTTATAAAAGCAATAAGCCCCTTGAAGCCGTGGTTTACAGTGAATTTATAACAGCTAAGGGAGTTTTAGGCCCTAACAACGCCCCTTAGCTGTTATCAATTCACTGTAAACCACGGCTTCACGGGGCTTATTGCTTTAAAGGGGTCATATGATGCTGCTAAAAAGAACATTATTTTGTGCATTTGGTGTAATGAAATGTGTTTATGCGGTTTAAGGTTAAAACACATTATTTTCCACATACTGTACATTATTGTTTCTCCTCTGTGCCCCGCCTTTCTGAAACACGTAGATTTTTACAAAGCTCATCCGTCTGAAAAGCGAGGTGTGCTGTGATTGGCTGAATATCTCAAGCGTGTGACGGAAATGTTACGCCCCTTACCATACTGTGATGATGCCCTGTCCGGCCGGAGCGATGATTCAAAAACATTAAAACCCATTATAAACGAGGCGTTTGTTGCATCCAGTGGGGACATAATCACTGATTATAATAACTTATACTGTCCTTTTACGCATTGCGTTGCATCACGCCACGTAAACCTAAAACCATGTCTGCATTTGTGATCAGAGAAATTACAAACAACAAGTGCTACTCTACACTGCCCAAAACTCGCG